CACGCCTTTAATCCCAGCACTCGGGAGGCAGAGCCAGGTGGATCTCTGTGAGTTCGAGGCCAGCCTGGGCTACAGAGTGAGTTCCAGGAAAGGCGCAAAGCTACACAGAGAAACCCTGTCTCGAAAAACCAAAAAAAAAAAAAAAAAAAAAAAAAATTTAAAAAGTATTTTTTGGTGAAGAAGCTTGAAAAGATAGTTTGAGCATATAAAGCATGGGAGTGGGAACACAGGTTTTAGCATTGTTTGGCATAAAACTGAGGCAGAGTATGGAGAGGGATCAAACTAGAATTAGATGAAGGTTAATTGTGGAGGGCCGTGGTGGCCTTGACAAGGATATTAGTAAAGGCCTTAGGAACAAAAGGCACCTATTAAAGTCTTAAAACAAAGCAACGTGGTCCAATTTATATTTTAGATAAGTCTCTATAGCAGGTGAGAAGGGTGTAAATTTGAAGACAATGAGACTCTGAATTAGGAAGCTACTGTTGGGTTCTAGGTTTGAGGGACTATCCTAAACTTAGAAAATGGTTTCTGAGATGGGAAAGGAATGTTGATTTAGAAGATTATTTTAGCAGTTGACATGCTAAGATTTAATGATTGATAAGATGTTACAGAGTGAAGTAAAGAAAAAGCATAAAGAAATTTCTCTAGATTTTGTAACTAAAGGGGGATGTTACTGACACTAGGAAAAGAGAAAGAGACAGTAGAAAAGATAGTCACATCAATGTTGGTCATCTTCTACATTGATATATTTGGTTGGCAGGACTTTTTCTTTTCTGGCTTTATTTCCTTTCTATTCTGTTCTTTAAATATTTCCTAATATTTTTCTTTTAGATATATATTGGTTCTATAAAATAAAGGTTTCATTATGGAATTTTCATGCATGCTTTTCTATTCTTTACCCTTCTTTCCTTTTCCACTGTTCTTTCTTTCTCCCAAATCTCAAACTATACAAAAAGCTCCAGAGTGGAGGGGGAGAAAAGGGGCTGTTTCAGGAGCCTCACTAATATAAGGCACTCCAGAGAGCTACCATCATTTATAGAATAGTCAGAGAAAGTATGTTAGATGATTATATAGGAAACCAGAACAAAGCTTTTAGAAGCTAAAGGAGTTGGTTCAAGAGGGATGTAGCACACAGACAAGGGTTGGGAAACATGCAGATAGGTGACCTGTTTAAGAAGTCTGTCATAGAAGCCAAGCAAGGACAGACTATAAGTGAAAAGGAGGATACAGGTTATAGAACATTTTTCAAACATTTTCAAGTGAAAGGAAAGAAAGCAATTGAATATTACTTAGAGAAAAATGAATTAGGGTCAAGAAATAGTTGGGTATAAAGGTAGACAGATTTCTTAACAGATACAAGTATTAGTTACTTTCTTCATAGCTGTAATGTCATAGTGGAGAATACATGGTGGCAATGGCAGTAGCAGCTGTTGGCTATAACAGCAGGAGCATAGAACAATGGGTCATATTGCAGTCTGGAAACAAAGATAAATCACACCAGCTTATGGGATGCCGTGGCTCATGTTCAATGTGATTTTTTCCATCTTTACCTTGAAACACCCTCACTGATATGCCCAGCGGTATATAGTCTAAGGATTCTAAGTAATCAAGTTCACCATAAAGATTAACCATCACAAGTCCACTCCTTCCTTGTCACTTTAAGTGATCTATCACTTAAAATGGTAACATTCCACTTTGGGTCCTTAAAGCCTCTGGTTCATCCATATGGCAAAATATATTTAATCCATATTTTAAAGTCCTCAAAAATCCTTTTAAAAGTCGTAGCAAAACATTGTTCAGAAGTCTAAGTGCAGAGTCTTAACTAAGACAAGCAAAACAACTCATTTTTAGTATACAATGACACAACCTTAGTGTAAGCCTCTATGACCCCTTCAATCTTATATTTTGCATATATGTAAAACCACTACCATTCCAAATGGGAGGACTTGAGGTATAGCAAGGAAAGATTGACCCAAAGCAAGACTGAAACCCATCAGGACATCAAACCCTGTAGTTCCATGTCTAACATCTGGAATTTGTGATCATGTGGGCTCCGATGGGCTTGGGAAGCCCTGCCCCTCCAGTTCTTCTGCCTGTAGTGCATGTAACTTAGCTCCACTTTTTGTCTGCAGCTATCCTCAGTGCATGTCCCATGATCTGCATTGCAATTTGGACGTCAGTGTCAGTTTCTACAGTGACTTCTCAGGGTTTCCTTGATTGGAATCTGACTCTTCCACATGCTGCCTAGCCTCAGCAGCTTTGAAAACCTCCATGACCACTTCACTCTTGCATTTTGCGTAACTGCAAAAATCAGCATCATGTGGTTTATACTGCCAAATTCTGCTGCCAGATCATGATGTAGTCTGGCCTCCATCTACAACAGTTGTAATGGACTCTGTACAAAACCTTGGCTGCTGAAACTGGGAAAACACTTCACAGGAAGTTATTTTTGAACCAAGAACCTACCTCAGTGGCATTGCAACTCACCTCTCCCTTTCCATTGAATTTGCATTTCTACCAGTTGGAGTCTTTGGTGGGTGGAGTCTTAAGACTTCGGGTACCTTTCCTACAGTCCTGATACAAAGTGTGAGGTTTCTTTTTAACGTTTCATTTCTCTAGACCTACCTTGTCTCTGACTTGAAACTTGTTCCTCTTTCTCACTAAATTGCATGCTTTTCATAGATTGCTGCTCTCATAACACTGTAATATTGACTAAGATCAATGAGCAGTAACTATATCATTCCCTAGATGTTAGGTTTGCCTGCAATTTCTTCCACCAAACATTTTAGTCCATCTTTTTTAAATTTAGCCTCACTCAAGTTTTTAGGATGTGGACAGAATGCAGCCAGATTTTTTTTCCCAGAATGCAACAAGAATGACCTTTAGCCCAAGTCTCCAGTAGAATCCTTGTTCTCTTCTGAAATCTATTGAAGTAGGCCTCCATTGTGTATTTCTCTTGGCATTTTGGTCTTCTAGATTCCCACCATGAGGACCCATTAAGTTTGCTTACAGTATTCTAGTGCTTTTCTAGCTCACAGCTTCAAATTCTTGTACATTCTCCCTGCAAACCAGTTCAAAAGGCACTTGAACCACATAGGTTTATCATAGCAACAGCACCACTCCAGGTACCAGTGTTCTATATTACTTTACTTGTTGCTGTGACAAAGTACCTGAGAGAAAGCAACTTAAAAAAGGAAGTGTTAGCATAAGCCCTAGGTTCCAAAAAGCCAGCTCATGCACTGATATGTAAAATTAAATTAATTATAAAATAATAATAATAATAATAATAATAATAATAATAATAATAATAATAATAATAATAATGGAAGAGTTTATTTTGGCTCACAACTTGTGGATACAGTATGCCATTGAAGACCTGGAAGCATGAGCATGAGGTGATTAGTTATAGTACATGAATCATTCAAGAAGCAAAGGAAGATGAATGGTGGTGATCAGCTCTCCTTTTTAAAAATTTTACTTTTATCATCATCATCCTGTGTGTGTGTGTGATTCATGAGCACATGCATGCTATGGTATGCATGTAGAGGCTAGAGAACCTCTTTGAGGAGTTGGTTCTTACACACCATGAGTTCCAAAAGTCAAACTCAGGTTATCAGGTTAGCACAACAAATGCTTTGATCCAATAAAGGCATCTCACTGCCCCCGCCTCCCTGTTTTCCCTTTTTATTCAGTCTGGGTCTACATCCCATGAGATAGTGCTGCCAACATTAATGATGGGTCTTCTCTCTTCAGTTAATCTTCTTATAAACCCCTCTCACAAATTTCCCAGGAGTATGTCTTCTAAGTCAGTCTAAATTTAGTAAAGCTGACAATGAAGATAAGCCATCAAATTAGTATAGACGCAAAATTTGGAAGTTAAAGTGCAAGCTTGCTATACATATGAAATAATTCGTTCATTTAGAGCTGTTGAAAATTTAAAATAGACTGCCTTTTAGGTAGTAAGCCATTGGAGTAGTTGAGTAAAAGGTATCTTTTGGTCAGCTGTCTAGAAAGATAATGGTGAATGCTTTTGTGAGTCAGCTTTTATTCAGTTCTCAGTATTTTCCTCAATATTGCTTTTGTTTTGTTTTTGGAATTTTTGTCTTACTGGTTTTTGTTTGTTTTGATTTTTGTTTTTGTGGGTTTTTTTTTGAAGGAGAAAGAACATAAAGCTGGATGGTTAAGGAGATGAGGAGGAGCTGAGACGACTTGGGGAAGACGTAAAACATGATCAAATATATTGTATGAAAAAAATAGAGAAAAGGAACTACATATTAACTATTTTTCTCAATGAAACAATAACACCTGACAATAAGCAACTTAAGGAAGCATTTGTGGTCACAGTTTGAGGGCATAGGCCATCATGGCCTGGAAGTCATGATGCCAGCTACTTGAGGCTTGTGGTCGTATTGTATTGACAGCTAGGAAACAGAGAGGAATGCTACTTACTGCTCAGCTCACATGTAATAGTGCTGCCCACATTTATGGTAGATATTCCCACCTCAACTAACCCAGTCTAGAAACTCTTTTGCAAAACATGCCCTGAGGTTTGTCTCCTAGCTGTTTCTAGATCCAGTCAAGTTGATAGTATTAACCATCACACATTGCAAACGAATGGATTTTCTTTTCCCTGGCAGCTCTGCAGAGTTCTCTTATATCACTGGGCCAAGTTAATTTATTTGCCTTTGATCTTGAGGGATAAAATTAAACTTAACAGTCTTAAATAAGAAAACATTGAAACTTGAGGTCCAGGAAATTTTTGCCATGAACTATCTGCCATGCTCTAGGCTCATAAGCACTTTTAACAAGGTTTTTACTTTCTACAAATTGTACCTCAACGAGTTTCTTTTTCAGAATTTTGAGAGTTTTGTGTCTGTCCATATTTTTTTATAAAATACTGTTCTGAAATAACTAAAATAGCACTGAAAAGACTCTCTCTCTCTCTCTCTCTCTCTCTCTCTCTCTCTCTCTCTCTCTCTCTCTCTCTCTCTTTCTTACAGGTTTATTTTATTGCCCATTTATTTGCTCTAGGAGAGCGCAGTGAGTAAAATCTTTTAAGATTGTAAATTGATTAATTTCCTTTTTTTTCCAAATTAATACCTTACAGATGTGGTGGGAAAATAAGTAATCTGTACTTTTGTCATATGGTTATTCTTTTTTTTTTTTTTTTTTTTTTGGTTTTTCGAGACAGGGTTTCTCTGTGTAGCTTTGCGCCTTTCCTGGATCTCGCGCCGTAGACCAGGCTGGCCTCGAACTCACAGAGATCCGCCTGCCTCTGCCTCCCGAGTGCTGGGATTAAAGGCGTGCGCCACCACCGCCCGGCTTGGTTATTCTTATAGTAGTTAATTTTTCACTCTGAGACAAGTAATTTGGAAATACAAGACTGGGATAAATAAATTTACACAGAAACTGAAAAGAATGCAGAGGAACAAACTTCCAGTTATAGACTGGATGTAGTAGACCCGTTTCACTCTTCAATCTGTTCCCATCCAATATAATGTTGTAGGTAGTCTTTAGAGATAAAAGTAGAAAAGGATAAAGAAAACCAGGAGCCAGGAATGATCATATGTACCTATAATCCCTGTATTCAAGAGACAGTCAGGATGTTATAAATTCAAAGCCAGCCATTTTTTTAAAAAAGGAGAAAAACTAACTATAATTACCTGAATAAAAATGAAAATACAGTGTACCAAAATTGTAGAATGTAACTTAAATCTATGCTGAGAGGGAAATTCATAGCACTGGGTGTGTATACAATGAAAAGATGCAAGGCTAAAATGAAAAATCTTAAATTCTCAGTTTAATAAATGAGAAAAAGAAGAGTAAAATAAACCCAAAATAAGAATAAGGAAGGTTATATTAAAGAAGTCATTGTTATTTAAAATGGAAGTTTCTAACACTGAGGACAGATTTTTGTTTTGGACTTTTCTAATGTCCCTAGAAGATTTTCATGTGTAATAGGAACTTACCACCTCTACTGTGAAGGCAAAATATTTCTTATGTTTTAAATTGACATTAACATGATTCTGAGACCCTTTCATTTGCCTTTCAACCCTTCTTTTTTGTGCTGCTCTTCAAGTTAGTCCTGATTTGTATGTTAACTTCCATATTTCACTCCCTTTGCCTCTCTGACTGGACATGAGCTTAACAACAATCCCCCTTCACTTCACATACACATCTGCCTTGATTGATTTTAGGATTAACTCTGAAACCCCACTCACATTGGCTTGTCACACATCAACAGTTTTTTAGGCTGTGATCACCCAAGTCATTGTAACTGTGTCTTGTACTCCTCACCTTGTTACTCTGGCTTACAGAATTTTTTGATTTTACTTTTAAAGCACATAATAAAATTTCTAAGACAGGGCTATGGTTTTCAAATTTTTGAATTAATTTTATGAAAAAATGGCAAAACATCAGTAGTAAAATTGTTCACTGAACTTTTCTGAAGTATTTCAACCCACCCTTTCTGAAATCATGGCTTACTTCTAGAGTGGCTCTCAAATATTTAACTGCCATCCTTGTCTTTCCTAATTTTGATATACATCATCATATAAAAACAATACAAACCATTTAAAATCATATAAAACAAAACAATAAAATAGAGGATTAGAAGAAAAATCACATAGGGGCTGGAGAGGTGGCTCAGCAGTTAAGAGCACTGTTTACTCTTATAGAGGACCTAACTTCAGATCTCAGCACCGTCATAGTAGTTCACAACAATCCATAACTTCAGTTCCAGGGGATCCATTGTTACCTTTTTTCTGACCTCCATAGGCACCAGGCATGCACATGGTGTGGTACACATACATACCTGCAGGAAAAACACTCATACATACAAAATAAATAAATCTTAAAAATTTATTAAAAGGTCACATCCTTAAAGCAGCTTTGCTATCTGCAGAACACAGTAATAGCTTTAAATATATATATATATATGAAAAGAAAGGTTTTGTGCACTTGTATTATTTATATATGAAAAGCTACAGTAATTTTCCTCTATAAAAATTAGCAATCGCCGGGCAGTGGTGGCGCACGCCTTTAATCCCAGCACTCAGGAGGCAGAGGCAGGCGAATCTCTGTGAGTTCGAGGCCAGCCTGGGCTACGGAGTGAGTTCCAGGAAAGGTGCAAAGCTACACAGAAAAACCCTGTCTCGAAAAACAAAATAAAATTAGCAATCTAGGTCGGGTATGATAGTACATGCCCGTCATCCCAGCACTCATGAGGCTGAGGTAAGAAAAATTTCAGGTTTGAGTCCAATCTGGGATGCATATAATAAGACTCTAGCTCCAGAAAAAGATACTATGGAGGTAGAAACAAGGATCTGGAGTTCAAGGCCAATTTTGGCAACATAGTAAGTTAGAGAGTAGCATGAGTTATATGAAACACTCAAAACAACAAAAAATAGCAAAAAATGTTTATTCATTTGATTACATTATTTTCATTGCACTTAATATAGTTTTATATTTGATACTCCACAGGAAAAATAATCAACCAGCACAGAGCTGTTAATATTTTTTTAAATATTAATGGCTATGAAGTACAGTCAAATGGACTAAGCAAATTTCTGATCATATAAGTACTATTTTTAATGATAAACTATTTTTAATGATCATTGGATGATACAGTGAAGTAAAAGTGATCAGTTGATCTTTTCTATATTTATAAATGACTTCATCTTCCATGTGCCAATAGGGGAGAGTGGCTGAAGACCATAGTGGGGATGTTATCATAGTGTAAAATATATGGGCAAGTTTTCAGCCAATAGCTACTGTAGCAGAAGTAAGGAGAGCTTTCTTACAGATACTCCCAACTGCATTGGTGCCTTTGATATTAATATTCAGAATTTATCTACTATGATAACAACCTTTTTCATCATGTTGAATCCCTAGTTCAATTAATTCATGCCTCTGGAATTTGGATTTTGCATGATGGCCAGATCACGCAGTCAACAACTAGAATCACAGTTAAAGCGGTTTCTTAAACAAGAGCTGCAGTAACTGGGAAGAGTTCTTGGCCTGTGAGTAATTTAGCATGTCTACATGAGCATTCATTCGCTGGCACTTCAGTGCAGGTGAAACTGATTAGTGAGTCATAATTCCCAAGTAACTTTAGGCTTCTACTGTTGCTGAAGTTTTCCTGGTCCTGCTTGGCCCACGGTCAGGACAAATCTCTCTCACCCGCCAGTCCCACAGCTGCTCAGACCCAACCAAGTAAACACACAGAGACTTATATTGCTTACAAACTGTATGGCCTCAGCAGACCTTTTGTTATCTACTTCTTATATCTTAAATTAACCCATTTCTATTAGTCTATAAGCTGCCACATGGCTTGTGGCTTACCGGTAACTTACATCTCGCTTGTCATGGTATCGGCTGGCAGTGTCTCTCTGCTTCAGCCTTCCACTTCCCAGGATTCTCCTCTTTCCTTGTCCTGCCTATACTTCCTGCCTGGCTACTGGCCAATCAGTGTTTTATTTATTAACCAATCAGAGCAACACATTTAACATACAGAACATCCCACAGCATTCTACTGTCTTCATAATCCTCTCTTTCTAAACTTGTTTCTCTTTTCTGTACGTCTAGGAAAAAGAAATTGTCTTACTCATTTTTGTTTTGTTTTTTCATTGTCTCCTTTCTTGTGGTTAGGGAAATGCCTGACCTCTCTTAACACAGTATTAATGTGTACTTGTTATTTTTACTATCACCTGGATAAAAGTGGCTTTTCCTAATAATTGTTTTGATGATTACTTTAAATCAGGTGGTAGATGTTAGGATAAAGCGCATTAGGGGTGTATGTGCGTAAAATTTAAGGAGAAAAGCATCTCATAGTAGAATTTATTAGAAATCAAAAATCATTTTGAGTTTCTTTTATTTTCTAAAGCTAAAAATTTAGGGAATAAGAATGTGTTGCCTTCTGTTCCATCACGAGGCACTCACTCATTTGAAGGCTATATTCAGTAGACACAATTTTTTCTGTTGTTATTCTTGACGCAGCCAAAACAGTTTTTATTGGTGAAATATTTCGGCAATTTTAAGTTATCCTGGCTTTACTGATGAATAACTTAACATGCCATACAATTTATCTATTTTAAGTGTTCAATACCATTGGGTTTCACACATTTATGAAACCATCAACATTATCCATATTTTATAACTTTTCTATCTCCCCACAAAGGAGCCTTATATCATTTACAGTTAGTCCCCATTCTCACCCCAATCTACTTACTTCATGTCTCTATAGATTTATCTATTTTAAACAGTTCTTATAGATGAGATCATGTGATGATTCTCTTCCCTTGCCTTTGTGTGTTGTGATTATGATAGCATACTATGATAAAAACCTGTTTTTCACTTGCTTTTTTTTATTACATGTGTCAGTGATTTGTTTCTTTTAATTACCAAGTAATCTATAGTATGATTTTGCCACAGATATATTTATTTATTTAGTTGTTGAAAAATATCTCAGTTGTTTCCAGTTTTAAGCTATTATGAATAAAACTGCCATAAATGCCAGGTGGTGGTGGCACATGCCTTTAATCCCAGCACTAGCACTTGGAAGGCAGAGGCAGGTGGATCTCTGTGAGTTCAAGACCAGCCTTGTCTACAAAGCAAGTTGCAGGACAGCCAGGGCTGTTACACAGAGAAACCCTGTCTTGAAAAAAACAAAACAAAACAAAAAACCAAACAAACAAAAAAACTGCCATAAATACTTATGTGAATGTAAGTTTTCATTTCTCTGGGATAAATGTCCAGGAATATAATTGTTGAATTTTTTTGGTACTTGAATGCTTAATTTTTCTTTTTCTTTGATTTTTCAAGACAGGGTTTCTCTGTGTAGCTTTGTGCCTTTCCTGGATCTCGCTCTGTAGACCAGGCTAGCCTTGAACTCACAAAGATCCACCTGGCTCTGCCTCCCAAGTGCTAGGATTAAAGGCGTGCACCACCACCACCCAGCTCTGAATGCTTAATTTTTCAAGAAATGACCAAGTTATTTTCTAGATTAGCAGTACTGTTTTAAGTCCTACTAGCAAAATATA